GGGGGGCGTCTGTCTGATCGGGCGGACACATTTTAAAGGTTCCCTCCGGAAGTGGATTCTGCGAGGGGCAACCGCCGCCGCCCGCCCCCCGTTCGCTCCGCTCCACAACACAAGAAGTGCGAGTGCAAAATTCCTCGCTCCCCGACAAAAGCGAATCGAGCCGAATTCATGGCGTTGGTCCAGATATCGCTGAGAGCGCGCGCGGGAGCGGTGGAGAGCTTCCTGGGATGCTTGCGGCCGGCGCGGGGCTGCGCGGGGCTGCGCGGGGCTGCGCGGGGCTGCGCGGGGCTGCGCGGGGCTGCGCGGGGCTTCGCGGGGCTTCGCGGGGCTGCGCGGGGCTGCGCGGGGCGCGGCGGGGGCAGCCTGCGGTCGCGCCCGACTGACTGCTCCTCCTCCTCCTCCTCCTGCTGGTGCAGGTCCCGCGCCGCGCACCGCTCGCTCTCGCGGAGGAAATACCGGTGACCTATGCACCACGCGTGGGGGAGAAAAGGCCTCGCAGCCGGGCGCCAGCCTCTACGGAGCAGACGACGCGGAGCCTTCGCTGGGGGACAGGGGGAACACCACCACCGTTGCGGGTGCGTGTGGGAGACGAAATGTATCCACAATTTTGCCACTTTTGACAGACATCCACCAAAAGGGGAAAGGACAATCATACCGGGGTGTTTTCTCGTTGAATCTGCGTTCCAGTGTTGTGGGCCATGGCCCATGCCAACCGAGAGAGATGCAATTTCGAAACCCTGATAGAGCACATTCACATACAAATTTTACCAAAATACCATTAAAAAAAATAATTAAAAACCTCTTGTCTGTACTAAACAAGATATGTTTATGACAACGTTGTGGCGAAGCACGGCGAGAAAATGCATATATTTTCGTCTGCGCGTCCCAAAGTGCGCACTCTTCGCCGCTGAGTGCACGACACTTTGTCGGGTCCGAAAGAAGAGCCGCTCATCTCCTCGCGCGGAGCAGCAGCGCGGGCCATTGTCTTCCGCGGCGTAAATCGTTGGAAACACGCATCATGACGCGCGGCGCTTGTGTTGTCCCCCGTCGCCCGTCCCTCACGGCGGTCCCCTATCGGGGACGCTGATCTAACGCGAAAGAGCGACCGTATCAGAGGGCGAGGAGGAGGGTCGGGGCCGGGCCGGGCGCTGCAACGAGTGTCGCCGCACGGGTGGGCCCACTATTTAATTGGCAGGCGGTTGGCAGGCAAAACGCATCATATTTGTACCCGTCCGCTGCTAGGCGCTCACACAAAGCCGCGGGCGGGATAATGAGGAGCATCGCCTCTCATATGTGCGCTCTCTCTCTCTCTCTCTCTCTCTCTCTCTCTCTCTCTCTCTCTCTCTCTCTCGCTGGACGCGGGGGCCGCAAGAGTGTATAGCGAGACAGAGACGGGCTATAGCCACGCGTAGCTTATTTTAAACCCGCTGGGAAAATCCTGCCGGCAGGCCAATCAGGTCTCCAAATGTGCATTGTGGCATGCAAGGGGTGTACGTGTGTGACTGTGTGTGACTGTGTGACTGCGTGTGTCATATGGGCGGAATGCGCAGGCGCGAGGTCGGCCGACACGCCCCGGCCCGCGCCGCCACCGCGCCGCTGTCACCGCAGAATGTAAAGGGGTTGTGTTGAGGGGCATTCCTCTTGGGGTAGGTCGACTGCTGCTCTGCACCGCGACAACTACCGCCGCCCGAATGTGTCCTGTTTCGCGGTGCGGGCCGCTAGTTATGAGCGAGCACACACAAACGCCTCTCTGCTGCCTTGCCTGCTACGCTTTCACGTGTGCTGTGTGTCGGTCGCGCGGACGTTTCTGGTTTCTACTACCCCGTGCGGTGTGGAGTTTGGTGGTAGTTTACGCGCCAAAACGCGCCGCACGAGAAATGCGGAGCGGAATAAATCGAGGGGTCCGCAAGTATGGTCTGCCGGTGTACACATGTGGTGGGCTTCCTAGTTTTCCCAGGTTTTCCTAAGGTTTTCCCGGTCTTCCCAACTTTTTCTTGGTTTTCCCAATATCTTGGTTTTCTGAGGCTTCCTCCAGTTTTCTGCGGTTTTCTCGCATTTTCATCGGTCTTCCCTCACATTTTCCGATCTTCCTTGCAATTTCTAGGTCTTTCCTAAAGTTTTTTCGGTCTTCCCTTTTATTTTTTGGTTTTCCGTCACATTTGTGGCCTACTATTTTATTGGTCTTCTTCGGTTTTCTTTAGTCTTCCTGGTGGTCTTCCCGGTCTTCCCAGTTTTCCGGGCGGCCAGTGTACGCGCTCGAACCTAGTTGCGGACCCCTCGGAATAAATGAATGAGGGAGAGACAGCGCCGCGCACTCCAAAAAATAATGTTGCACAAGGGCAGGTGCCTCCGCTGCTGCCCGGCTGCTCCTCTGATCCGCGCCGTACAGCTGCAAGCTCGCTGCTTGAGGTCTCACTCGTGTTTTCAATTTGGCCGTCGGAATGCTGACCTGCAGCCGTAATCAGGCGGGCATGCGCTTCAGTTTCATTTTCTGGGAGTGATTTACTCGGAGCAGCGCAGCCGACGAAAAATAAAAGAAACAAACGAAAAATAGTTTCAATTGCAACGAATAATGCAATTTACATACACAGCGCGACAAAGAGGACAGGCAACAGTTGAAGTTACAAAGCGAAATCGAATGCTTTTCCTTTGAGGACGCCGCCGCCGCCGCCGCCGCCGCCGCCACTACCACACCACCCCTCTACTTTCCTACCGAAGCCTTGTAGCCGTGCCCTGTTTTACGTCAGGTGCGAAAAATATTTTGAGCGGCTAGGTGTTGCGTGCCGTGCCTATGGCCTGCCGGCCGGGCCCAGCGGCAGCGGCAGCGGCCCCCGGGCTGAGCCAGGTTCCGTTGATTGGGCTCACAAGGGCGCGGGGCGGTAGCCGCGTTTTATGATGGAAAGAGCTGCCGTTGCCGCTACCTAGGGACCCATTTTTTCGAAACGCCGAGGCTGAACTGGACGTTAAACAACCACCGAATGGAGCAAATGGTTAGTCGAGCGAAGAGATGTGTGTCTGTGTGGGTTAAGGTTTATATACCGAGCATGTTGTCTCATTATTGCACCTTCGCAATGCTGTATGATTATTAATTTTTGGTTTTTTGCTTCGCCACGCGCTTTGAGTCGCCAGACGGAGCGAGACACGTGCTTTCCGCTGTTGGTGTGCGCGGGCGCTGACTGGCAGACAATTCCATTAAGTCTCCTGGATATTTCATTAACGCACTGGGAGAGGAAATCGAAATGTGTCACTGTACCTCCGGTGGTCATTAACCCTGTTTCCTCGTCATATGTGTGAGCTGAGAATGTCGCGCGTCACTCCTCTGGAACACTCCTCTGGTGTTCTTTGGGTGCTTCTCTCGTGGATCTCAAAATGAGTGCGTGAGGTGTTTAGGTTGGGCAAACTATTTCTTCTTCTTCTTCTTCTTCTTCTTCTTCTTCTTCTTCTTCTTCTTCTTCTTCTTCTTCTTCTTCTTCTTCTTCTTCTTCT